GATGTGCCGACACCCGCAAGGAAAAGCAGGGAGACGCGCATTATGGAAAAAAAAGAGGGGTCTAAAGGGGCAAAGGGGACACACACACACACACACACACGCACACACACACACACACACACAACACACACACACACACACACACACACACACAAAACACACACACACAAAACACACACACAGCAGCAGCAGCAGCAGCAGCAAGCACCCCGACTTACCCTCGTCACCGCCGTTTGCGCCTGGTCGATCACGGCCACACGTGTGTGCCACCACATTCACATAAACAGAGTCATGAGACCAAAGGTGGCAATGGAGCAAGAGGAACGACAGCCACTCCGTCGACAACCACAAAAACACCTCCACTCGCCAACAACACAGCGACAACAGAACACTAACACCACCACTAACACCACCACCACCAGTAGCAGCGGTACCAATAACGGCGTGACCACGCCAAGCACACACACACACACACACACACACCTTTGACGGGGACAGCTTGTTCAAGTTGCTCCGGCTGCTGCTTCTGTGGCTGTTGCTTTTGTTTCTTCTTCTTCTCCTGCTTCTGTTTCTGCTTCTGTCTGTGTCTCTGCTGTTGTTGCAGCTGTTGCTGCCGTTGTTGCCGCTGCCTCTGCTGCTGCAGGTACCCGGCCATGCGGTCATCATCGTGCTGCAGGCGCACAACGACGACGACGACACAGCGCCGACACGCACGGTGCACGCAAGGGAGAGGAGGAGATGATTGTGGTGAGACTGCAGTTGTTTGTAACTTGGTTGAGATGTGCACACGGGCATAAACACCCGCTCCCGTTTGCACAAACCTTCACACACGTTTGCACAAACAAACAAACAAACAAACAAACAAACAAACAAACAAACAAACAAACAAACAAACAAACAAACAAACAAACAAACAAACAAACAAACAAACAAACAAACAAACAAACAAACAAACAAAACAAAAAAAACCAACAAACAAACAAACAAAAAAACATTACACACATATACACACCACCACCACCACCACCACCACCACCAACGCAAAGCACACCAGCAGTCGTGGTACCTGTGGCAGCGCTCCGAGGTCATACAATCCTGATGATGACGGTGACGGCTGCGGATACGACGAGGGCGCACTCCCATACGACGCTGGTGGCGGCTGCACGTGGGTGATGGGTGGACGATGGGAGTGGTGATGGGTGGTTGAGTACATGGTGTGTGTGTGTGTGTGTGTGTGTGTGTGTGTGTGTTTGTGTGTGTTTGTGTGTGTTTGTGCGCTTGCGCGACAGTGCTGGTGACACGAGCCGACAGTCAGGTGGAACATGGACACACAGGACTACAGCAGACAGCTCAGTTGCATTGCATGGGTTGGGTGCAGTGCATACCGCTGCCTGTGCTTCTTGTTCGCTGAGCGACAGCGCCAGCGCAAGCTGCAGCTCTTCCTCCTCCTGTCCACAACAACACGAGCGCACATGCACACAACAGGAAACGGTGAGACGCGTCAGGTGTTCATTCAGAGCACAGGCGGGACCCGCGTGTGTTGCAAAGGTGAGAGAGAGACGGAGAGCAATGCAACAGAGAGAGAGTGTGTGTGTGTGTGAAAGAGTGAGACAGACAAACAAACAGACAAACAAACAGACAGACAAACAAACAGACAGACAAACAAACAGACAAACAGACAAACAGACAAACAGACAGTCAGTCAGAGCAGTGTAACGAAGACATCACATCAGCTGTAACGGCAGCAGCACCTTCATTTTGGCTTCCTCATCCTTGGACGACGATGAATGCTGCTGCTGCTGCTGCTGCTGCTGCTGTGAATTGCCTGTGTGGTTGAGGAGATGGAATACGCGTGAGCAACACGAATCAACAACACATCACAACATAAATGTGTGCGCGCACGTGTGTGTGTGTGCGTCTGTGTGTGCATCTGTGTCTCTGTCTGCCTGTTTGTCTGCCTCTCTCACTCTGCCTCTTGTGTGCATCTGAGCGTGTGGGGTCTTACGTTCTGCCTGCTCCAGCTCCATCATGCGCGCAACTTGCTGCTCCGGTGTCAAGTGCTGCGTTGTGCCGGGCGATCACAAGCGTGGTGAGTACTGGGATGGGGGGGGGGGTGACGAGGGAACAAGGGCAGGCCGCATACGCACAAATGCACGTGCACCACCACAACGCACACATACACACAAATGCACACGCACACACACACAAGTACAAATGTGCGCAGACTGAACCTGGTTCTTGAGAGAGAGGCGCTGCAAGAGTTCATAATCTGAGAGCTGACTCGTGTCCTCCTCCGCCGTGCTGGTCACGTTCCTGGTAGAGACAACACAACACGCAACACACGCGCAAACGCGCAACACACAACACCCACGCACACACACGCACCACACATGCAACACAAACGCACCGCAATACACATGAGCTGCACTGGGCTGACATGGCGCCTGCAGTTTGTTTCGAAAACACATGCACACACGTGCAGGCACGCAATGCAAAACTGCGTGTTGGGCGTGCACGTGTAGGCACACAGGCCCAGCTGGACTTACTCTCCCTTCTGGATCTTGTCAAAACACGAGTCGCACACGCGAACGGGTTTCTCAATCCCAAACCGCGAAATGGTCGTCGTCTGCACAGCGAGAGCACACACACACACACACACACACACACACACATACACAAAGGTAACTTGTGAGACGAAGAACGTGAGGTGCGTTACAAACAAGACTCTCTCCACACCCTCATCTTCCCCCTGACCGTGTCCATCCAACAAAGACACTCCGGCCCCTACATACCCTGCAACAGCTGCACCATATATGAACACACACACACACACACACACACACACACACACACACACACACACACACACACACTGCGCCACGTCTGCGCCACGCCTGCACCTTGCTGCTGCACGACTGGCAGAAGATCTGGCCGCAGTTCCGGCAGTGGTGGCGGCGCACCGTCAGCCCTGATAATGGGGTGGTGGCAACGGTCGTGGTGATGGTGGTGGTGGTGGTGGTGGTGAAGAGGAGGTTCCAACGGTTTCAAGCATCAGTGTGCAAGCGTGAGTGGAGTGTTGGCGCAGGTGCGGCCCAAGACAACAAGAAGCAAACGAGCCCAGCGAGACAAGGCAAACATGCACGGCGGAACAAGACTGAGACGAGTGCGTACCAAACGTGGAGCGGCAGGAGAAGCATGCCTTGCCCTCCTTCCACTCGGGCGGGCGTTCAGCAACGAACATGGCATCCGCCTGCGGGTCTGGCGGGGGGAACGGGTAGCCCTCCATCCGCAACACGTTGTATGTGTCAACCACCACCCGGTACGCAGGCTGCTTCTCAAACGCCAGCGCCCAAACCTGCAGCACCTCAAGCACTTTCTTCCGCAGGTCCACAGCATCCGACTGCGCGTGTGTGCGCGCGCGTGGGGGGGGGGGTGAATCAAGAGCGAAAGAGAGAAAGAAACAGAGAGAGACAGAGACAGAGAGAGAGAGAGACAGAGAGAGACAGAGAGAGAGAGAGAGACAGAGAGAGACAGAGACAGAGACAGAGACAGAGACAGAGACAGAGACAGAGACAGAGACAGAGACAGAGACAGAGACAGACACACACACACAGGGGGAGAGAGATATATAGGCGTGCATGTGAACCACACGCAATGCAGTCGAAGCAGCGTAACATTTACAGCACACACGCACACGCACGCATACACGCATTCACACAATGCACACATACACACCTTGAGGAGCTTGCGCATGTCGTTCATGAACGCCTCTGTCGCCACCTCCGACTGAATCTCTGCGCCGCAGTTCTTCACGGCCATTTCAATCACCTTTGCAGCACAGCAACACACAGCGAAATGAGAACAAGTATATGCAGCATTCAACAAGGGAGTGAAGCATGGGCTTGAGAAGCAGGAACAAACCAACAGCAACCCAACAACAACTCGTTCTATTCAGACACAGACTCACACGCAGACTCACACACACACACACGCACTCACACACACACACACGCACTCACACACACACACTCACACGCGCACACACACTCACACACACACTCACTCACACACACTCACACACACTCACACACACACACACACGCACACACACACACACGCACACTCACCTCGAGGGTTCGCAGGGCCACGTTTGGGTTCTTGTGCATGAGCCGCTTGCGCATGATGCCCATGGCCACTTTGGCGGGGACGTCCATGCCACGAATGTGGTCCAGAACGCCAATGTACAGGGCGAGGTTGGACTCCAGGAGCTCCTCGCTCGTGGCCTTGTCTAAGGCCTTCTTGAATGCAGTCGCCATGTCTTCTTCTTCTTCTTCTTCCTCTTTTTCGCCGCAGCAGCCTTCTTTCTTCCTTTGGTGCTTGCTGTTCTTGTGCCTGACGGTGGCTCTTCCTTCCAGCGGTACCTTTCCTCAAGCGCTCAGTCAGCTGTGTGCCTCTGCGGTTGTGAGTGTGTGTATGACACAGGGCGCAACGTTCACACGTCAGTTGTCAAGTCAGCACCTTTCGAGTCAACGATGAATGTCGTGTTGGCGTGTCGTATGTGCGTGTGTGCGTGTGTGTGCGTGTGTGTGGTGTGGAGAATTGCTCGCATGCACATGCACAAGGACAACAACGAGTGTACATGCATACACAACCGTGTCACAGTCACCCCTCCACACACACACACACACACACACACACACACACACACACACACACACACACACACTCCACACACACTCCGTTCACATCCACAACCAACCTCTTTTCTGCTTTTGCTGACTGCGATCTGCTGTCTGTTGTTGCTGTCAACGATTTTGTGTCGTCCTCTTCTTGCTCCTGGAGTGCGCACTTTGAAGGCAACGAAACCAAAATAAAGCTAGAGTAGAATTGGTGCGAATCGTAGAAATAAGCTACGTATCCACCAAACTCGCGGACATGCGATGATGACTCATTGGAGTGCGAACTCTGTGTGTTGCGCGGTTCATGCTGTCACATGCGCTCACACAACCAAGCAACCAAGCTCCCGCGCTCTCGTCACCCCGCGTGTTGTCCTGGTCCCCAGGCTTGGCGTGAATGAATGTATTCATGTGCGGGAGTTGGTTAAGATGGAGAAGATGGAACAAGAAGAAGAAACGCAGGCCACCCAACAAGCGCAGCATCACACAAACAGGTCGTGCGCATGTGGTGCCTGCAGAAAACGAGAGGGCACCACAAGCAAGAAAGCCATGACACCAAAAGGCAAAGGCAACAAGCACGGCACATGTGTGGTTGCATCACTGCTCTTGCGCTATTGCAGCAAGCAACAAGCAAGGCGGAGGCCGAACAAGCAAGACACGCAACAAGAACGGCGCACAGGAGAGGAAACAAAACACCACCAGCGTACAACACCACAGGAACGCCACAGGCACCATCACAATCCCCAGCGGTGGCGCAGGGCGGCGACTGGGACAACACGGGTGGTGGCGGTGAAAGTGGCAAGAAAGGGTAGGGGGGAGGAAGGAGGGCAAAAGGAGAGATTGGAGTTGAAGCCAGCGTACGCGGGGCATGCGTGCACCTGTGGGTAGGTGGGGGGCTGGGTTTAGGCGTTGTATGTGGAGGAGGACACGTTGCCGCCGCGGCCGGTCCAGTTGGTGTGCACAAACTTGCCCGGGTTGTCCAGGCGCTCGTACGTGTGTGCACCGAAGAAGTCGCGCTGGGCCTGGATGAGGTTGGCAGGCAGGCGCTCGGAGCGGTAGCCGTCGTAGAAGGCGAGCGCAGTGGAGAAGGCGGGGGTGGGCACGCCCAGGGTGACGCCTGCAGCAACCACGCGGCGCCAGGCAGCCTGGCACTTGGTGATGGCGTTGGCAAAGAAGTCGTCCATCAGCAGGTTGGTCAGCTCAGGGTTCTTCTTGAAGGCGTCACGGATGTTGCCAAGGAACACGCTGAAGCGTGTGCGTGACCATGCGTTTGTGTGTGTGTGTGTGTGTGTGTGTGTGTGTGTGTGTGTGTGTGTGTGTGTGTGTGTGTGTGTGTAGAAAGGGGACAAAATAAAAACGAGCATATGTAGTGACAGAGAAGCGTGAGTTATGGGTGATTGCAAACGAAAACAGCGTAGAAACCAACAAGCGCACGTGCGCGCACAACAGACAAAAGACACACAAGGCACACACACCAGGCACACACACACACACACAGCGCCACCGCATCAGCGCTGACCTGCGGATGATGCAGCCGCCGCGCCACATGAGGGCAATGGCGGGGAAGTTGAGCTTCCAGCCGTACTCCGTGGCAGCCTGCCGCATGAGCATGAACCCCTGCGCGTACGACACAATCTTCGACGCATACAGCGCCTGGCGAATGTCCTCCACAAAGGCCTTCTTGTCGCCGTCGTACTTGGAGGTGGGCGGGCCCGGCAGCCGCTTGCTCGCAGCCACGCGCTCGTCCTTGATGGCGCTGAGGCAGCGCGCAAACACAGACTCGCCAATGAGCGTGACAGGCATGCCCATGTCCAGGGCGCTGATGGCGGTCCACTTGCCCGTGCCCTTCTGGCCAGCCTTGTCCATGATCTTCTCCAGCAGGGGCTCGCCGTCCTCCTCAAAGGCGAGGATGTCGCGCGTGATCTCAATCAGGAACGAGTCGAGCTCGCCCTTGTTCCACTCCGCAAACACAGAGCTCATCTCCTTGCACGACATGCCAAGGCACTCCTGGTGGGTGGAGGGACGGGGAGGGGGTGTTGAGTGGTGTGTGTGTGTGTGTGTGTGTGTGTGTGTAAGTAAGTGTGTGTAAGTAAGTGTGTGTAAGTAAGTGTGTGTGTGTGTGTGTGTGCGTGTGTGTGTGTGTGAACAAGGCGTTGGTGTCAGAAGCCTTAATTGAAGTGTGCAACCGATCACAAACCGCTCAGACACAGACATACAATCACACACACATACGACGCGACTGCAGACATCAACAAGAGCACCATGATGTACGTGAGCGTGCTGACCTTCATGAGGTGGTAGGCCTCGCAGCAGAGCTGCATGTCACCGTACTCGATGCCGTTGTGCACCATCTTCACGTAGTGGCCGGCGCCCTCGTCGCCAACCCAGTCGCAGCACGGCTCCCCGTCAACCTGCGCAGCGCACTTCTGGAAAATCTCCTTCACATGTGGCCTGAGCCGTGCGGTGAGTGAGAGTGGGGGGGGGGGTAAGACGTGTGCAGTTGTCGTCGTCGTCAACGATGTTGTTGGCGGTGGTTGTCAGTGGCGAAGGAGACAGTGTGAGATGTGTGTGTGTGTGTGTATCTTGTGCGTGTGTGTGTTTGCGTTTGCGTGTGCGCGTGTGTGTTTGCGTGTGCGTGTGATGTGTGAAGAATGATAACTGCGGTGTCAATGAAGACAAATTCACACAATGACAAAGGCGTGCACACACGCACATGCACACAAACACACGCGCAAGCGCAACAACTGACCAGGCCTCTGGGTTGCCGCCAGGCATGAGAGATGGGCCGTAGCGGGCGCCCTCCTCGCCACCAGAGATGCCTGCAGGCAAACGAAGGAAGGAAGAAACAAACAATAACACAGTGTGTTCATTCTGTCAGGAACGAGTACTGGCCTCGCACGACGCGTCAGACAGCTATACAGCACCGACAAGCACACATGCACGCACATACACAGGCGCGTGCACACACAGAAGATACACAGGCGCGCCAAACACACACACACGCGCGAGCGCGACCGCAGAGAGGCAGACCAGTGCCGATGAAGAGGATGCCCTTCTCCTTGAGGGTCTTGGTGCGGCGCGTCGTGTCCGCGTACTCGGAGTTGCCGCCATCAATGATGATGTCGCCCTTCTCAAGGTGCGGGACCTGGCGTGCGCATGCACAAAAGGTGGTTGCATGCAAGCATGGTGAGAAAGGAAAGATGTGGCAGCGGGCCGGGGCGGGGAGAACACACACCAACACAAACGAAAAGGATCATATACCAACACAAACGAAAGGGTCACACACCAACGCACGCACACACGCAAAGAGCGCACACCAACGCAAAGGCACACACGCACGCACGGAGCACAGCAAACAAGTGGCGTACAATCTGGTCGATGAAGGTGTCGACGACGGGCCCGGCCTTGACGAGCATCATCACGCGGCGCGGGCGCTTGAGCGACTTGACCATCTCCTCAATCGAGCGGGCGCCGATCACGTTCGTGCCTGCACCGGGTCAACACCCCACATCGCACGTGAGAACATGTGAGATGCTGCGGATGAGGGAAGCGGCACCCACACGCAACCGGTACAAAGAAAACACACACACACACGCAAGCATGTAAACACACACACACACACACACACATCGCACCAATACACATGCACACGCAGGCAAACCCCCCACTGAGACAAATGTTCTCATCGACGCACCCTTGGCTTCGTTTGCCATGAAGCGGTCCACCTTCTCAACGGTGCGGTTGTACGCAGTCACCTGTGCAAGTGTGTGGGGGGGGGGGGAGAGTATGAAGAGGTGGAGAAGGTTGATAAGAGGGTTTGAGTGAGCGGCACGGCGGGAAAGCGTGTAGCGCGCGCGCGTGTGTGTGTGTGTGAGTGTGTGTGTGTGTGTGTGTGTGTGTGTGTGTGTGTGTGTGTGTGTGTGTGTGCAACTGCAACACTTGCTGCATTGCTGTTCACCACTCAAAAAGCAAGTTCAACAACGACGATGACAACACTTTGAAGGAACAAAAAACGATGCCTTCAAACAACAACAACACCCACACAGCAAACCACATCCACAAGACAAACATGTGTTACAACATCGCTGTTGCGGACACCCAACTCACCACAAAGCCGTGGTCGTTCATGTTGAGGATGAAGTTCTGGCCCATGACAGCCAGGCCAATCAAGGCGATGTCGGCTCTGGTGCAAAGAAGCGCAAACGAAGTGCAAACGACACAACAACAAACACAACACAACAACAAACACGACACAACAACAACAACAAACACGAAACAACAACAACAACAATAACAACAATAACAAACACGAAACAACAACAACAACAATAACAACAACAACAACAACAACAACCACAACCACAAAGACGACGACAACAACAGGCAACAAAGACAACGGTGAGCCGTGCACTATTGTGCTAACCGACAAACAACAAACAGTCGTGGCAAAGGCACACACATCCATGTACACACATCCACATCCATATCCTCACACACACACACACACATACACACACACACAAGAGAAGTACTTACTTGCCCTCGTTGCTCATCTTGGTTGGTTCGTTTGTTGGAGAGAGAGAGAAAAAAAAAACGGTGGCTCTGTGTGGGTGTGTCGGCAGTTTGGTGGGTGGTCAAAAAGTGTTCACATCACATCAAAGAGGAACGATCGGCAAAAACACACGCACACATGGGTCAGCGCACAAGTCAATGCAATGTAGTCGGTGACAAACACCACAAATACAAACAGCACAAATACAAACACAAGAGTGTGCACACCCACACCACAGTCCCCCAGCCCTCGCCAAAACTCCACCATCGCAGGCATCCGATCGGATTGCCTTTGCCGTGATCTATATTGGCTGACCTGATGTGGTTTGATCGCAGGCTGTTTGGCTTTCAATGGTTGGTGCGGTGAATGCTTGTTGTTGTGAGAGAGGCGGTGGTGGTTGTTGTGGAAGGCAGAGAAAACAAACGCAAAAGGTGCAGGCACAAGCAGCAGAGGAAGAGGAGTACCAATCAGTGGACTCACAGGCAGTTGTGGTGGTTTCAGTGTGAGGAAATGCTATGGAAAACATCCGCGAAACGTCCAAACTTCGTTGGGGTTTTGTTGGGTTGGCGTGAGCAAGCTGGTGGTTGAGCGTTGGTGGGTTGAGTGGTGCGCGTAGGCTGGAAGGAGGACAACAGACAAGCACCGCAACGGCTGCCACCTCACCGCGGTGCAACTGTGACGACGACGACGACAACATCAAAGATGATGATGATGATGATGCATGGCGCACGGCGGGGGCTGTCCGTGGTGGCAAGACACATGCGGCAGCAGCAGCAAGGAGGAACGAGGTCGCTGCCAGTACGACTGCACCCACAAACAGCTCAACTAGCACAGCAACAGGGGAGATGGAACCGGCTGTCACCGTGGACGGTGGCTGTGATGCAGCAAAGTGGGCTGCAGGAACGGTCCGTTGGCAAGTTTGTCGCGTTTGGCATCATCTACACACTGGGCGTCCTTGGAGGACTCCTCGTCTACCAGACGATCAACGCTAAAGATGTACGCTTTGTTGTGTGTGTGTGTGTGTGTGTGTGTGTGTGTGTGTGTGTGTGTGTGTGTGTGTGTGTGTGTGTGTGTGTGTGTGTGTAGGGGGGGTTCCTGTGTGGCTGCCTTTGTGGCTGCCTTCGTAGCTGCCTTCGTGGCTGCCTTCGTAGCTGCCTTCGTGGTTGGTTGTGTGAATGTGCACACATGTGCTTTGTTTCTCGTTTTGTTGTACATCCGCTGCAGTTGCTAACGCGTGCTTTGTGTGACCTCACATCAACGCTGTCATCAGGTGACAGACCAGGAACGACGAGAGACATGGGAGACGATTGCCAATAGCTATGACAAGGATATCCACGAGTGAGTAGCGTTATCTGGGGTTGTGTGGCTCTCAGCGGACGTGGAACATGTCCGAGTGTGCGTCGGCCATTTATGGCTGCTGTTTCTGCCTTTCCTTCCACTGGGGCACACATACATGCACACGCACACACACACACATCGCACTGTGCGTTTCTGTTCCGCGATCGGTCCTGTGTAGCTCTGAACGATCGACGGGCGTGCTCAAGCAGCGACAACAGCTCCTGCAGCAGCACGCAGCCGGCCACGTCCTCGAGGTGCTCCGCTCGTTCACTGTGCACCCAAGTGTCCGTGTTTGTGTGCATGTACGTGTTACTACTGTTTGTCGGCTTGCATATGTGAACAGCCACATCCATACGCACCCGTGCACATCTGTGACCATTCACACACACGCACACTCACGCACACTCACGCACACGTACTGCACATCCATCAACACGCGCACACACGCACACAACCATCAACACACACACACGTTCAAATGTACCTCCACCCACTTCTCATTGCACAATCGCAGGTGGCGGCTGGCACGGCGCGCAACCTGCCCTTCTACCCGCCGGCCGTGTCGCAGCTCACCCTGTGCGATCAGAGCCAAGCCATGATTGACGTACGAGAGCCGCATTGCCTCTCTGCTTTGTCCGCTTGCTACACGCATGCGCGCATGTGCGAGCGACACTGCATCAGCATGTGCAGCACACGCCACGTACTTGCGGCTTGCCTCGTTTCGCTCAGATCCAATTCCCCTTGGTTTGTCGCGTGTAGGAGGCAAGGGCCATTGTACAGGACTTTGACACCCAACACCCTGTGCGTTCAGGAAGCATTTATGTGTGTGTGTGTGTGTCTGTCTGTCTGTCTGTGTCTGTGTCTGTGTCTGTGTCTGTTGTGTGTGTGTGTATGTGTGTATGTGTGTGTGCGTCTGTGTCTGTGTCTGTGTCTGTGTGTCTTTGTGTCTGGCTTCGCTGGACAAGGTCTCCTTGCCGTCTCTGCCTCGCTTCATGCACCTGACTCACCGCAACTGGTTGTGTTGCTGTCTCGATCTCATGCTGTGCACCTTTCGCTGACATGTCGCTCGCAACCGCCATGCACACAAACACACACACACTCACACACACACACACACAAACACACACGCACCACAGCACCACACCATTGCGTACCACACAGTAGAGACAGGTGCAGCAAGCTCAGACAACGTACACGACGCTGGCAGCCGTGAGCAGCCTGAAGCGAATATTGCAGTCGACTTTTTGACTGGCGGGACCGAGGCACTGCCTTTTCCCGCCAACACATTTGATACCGTTGTCGACACATTTGGACTCTGCTCTTTTGATGACCCCGTGACTGCCCTCCGCGAGATGCTTCGCGTGTGCAAACCAGGCGGAAAGGTATGTGTGAAAGCACGCACGCACACACACACACACACACACACACACACACACACACACACACACACACACACACACACACACACACACACACATTCTCACGATGGTGACTCCCTTTGTCTCCCTCTGTCGCTCCCACTCCCACAATGCTGACACCACCACTCCCTCCCACCCTTCTCCCTCACACAACACGCACACACGCGCGCGCATGCACGCACGCACTCGCTCACGATGGCAGGTGCTGCTGCTGGAGCACGGCACATCGCACTGGCTGCCGCCCGTGAGCCTGTATCTGAGCTGGCGGGCGCGGTGTCACGCTGCGCGCTGGGGCTGCTGGTGGGACCGCGACATTCGCGCCATCGTCGACGATGCGACACGCCAGTACGAGCAGGGCGGTTGTGATGCCTCGACAGATGCAAATGCCAGTGCTGCACCGTCGCCACAGCCGCGTGTGCGTGTGGAAAAGGCGGCTAGCTTCCACTTGGGCACTGGGTATGCGTATGTCCTTCACAAGCAACGATGACAACCACAAACGGATAAACAAAGCAGGCAGGAAATGCAGGCAAGCGAACCAGCAACCAGGTGGAACAAGCAAACAAGTCACATCACCGCATCATGCTCACGTATGCTCCACGCACCCGTTTCTCAAGTTGCAATTGCTGGCGTTGTATACACACACGCTGTTGAGCTGTTTAATTGAGCACCACGTCGCGCCATTGCGGAAGTGACGTGCTTGTGGCAAGCACAACAATCAACGCACGAGCAACCCAACAAACAAAGCAAGCCGTCAGAATAGAGATGTAGGAAACTGGGCAGGCGTGAGCTGCCTCTTGACAAATATGGTCAGCCCCCAAATCTTGGTCTTGTATGTGCTCCTCGCTTCTGAATCGTGAAGTAGACACTGCCTTAGTTATATGTAATCCGTCCTCGACAATTCTGTGCAAGAGACGATAGGTCAATACAGGTATTGGTGAGTCACGTGGTTGGACGTGCAAAATCGGCTGAGTACAGGAGAGCAGCAAAGAAGATTTGGGGGGGGGGGTGTAAAGGGCAATCTTCAGAGAAAAGTTGGTAGGTAGCCAGCATTTTCATCAGTGTCATCCAACAACAGAAAGTTGTCGGACAAACGTCAAGCCAAATGCCTGGGTCGTCACTAGATTGCCCGAAACACAGTGCACGAGACAAGGCAAAGCAAAACTCGTGCTTCTTGCCGGTTGCAGCAGCACGGAGGGAACAACAAACGGGACAGGGCGCTAACAGGAAGAATGGAGACGTGAGGTCACAATGAGCGCCAACATGCACCAGGGGCGCTGAGCGTATGATCTTCAGAGAAAAGTTGGTAGGTAGCCAGCATTTTCATCAGTGTCATCCAACAACAGAAAGTTGTTCGACAAACGTCAAGCCAAATGCCTGGGTCGTCACCAGATCAAAGCACAGCGGTACAACAGAGGGCGATCATCATCACAAAGGGAAAGAACGACGAAGGTCACATCATGAAGCGAGGAAAAGGAAAGAAAAGAAAGAACACTGAACGAAGGACAAAACCAGACAAGCGTTTGCCATACTCGCTCGAACGAAAACGGCAAGAAAGCAAATGAACAACAACGTTATGCCACGTAAGGCTCGCACAACGCTCAAAATACTCACAAAGCACAAACAATGCACAAGCACATGAACAGTGCGTACAAGAAAAGAAATATTATCACGGTGACGCATGGGGTAGTTGGTCTTCAGAGAAAAGTTGGTAGGTAGCCAGCATTTTCATCAGTGTCATCCAACAACAGAAAGTTGTTCGACAAACGTCAAGCCAAATGCCTGGGTCGTCACAAGACCACCATGGTCAAAGCAGCACAGAGAAGACGAACAAGAGGGAGGAAGGGAGGAAGACGTAAAGATACAAAGGTTGACAGAGGAGAGAGGGGAGAGAGGGAGAGAGGGAGAGAGGGAGAGAGGGAGAGAGGGATACAAAGAGAGAGAGCGCGCGAGAGAGAGGGAGAGAGAGAGATAGACAGAAAGAGAGATATAGACAGAGACAAAGAGAGGGTGAGAGGAAGGAAGCAACGGCAAGCAGCAGGTGTGTTCCACTGACCTTGTAGTTGTTGGTTGGTTGGTGTGGCACGTGGGTTGTCTTTGTGGAAAATGGGCAAGAGAGAAATGCCGGAAGACTTTCCGCTGTTTTCAAGCCTCAAATTTTGCTGCGCCTTGTCATGTCGCATTCAGCGCTCTCCGACGAGCGGCGAGAGCAACACCACAAGACGACGATGAGCTGCGGGAGCAGGAGTGGAAGCGGGAGCAGCAGCGATGATGACGACGAGGTCATCGACCTGATGGCTGGAAGAACAACAGCATCTTCTTCGGCACAACAACAAAAAGCGCAAGCGCAGCCTCCCTCGTCACGTGTCCCAGGCATCAACGGCAACGGCAACGACAATGAAGATGACGATGACGATAGTGGTGATGACGATAACTTTGACGATGGCGATGAGACAGGTGTGCGCGCTCACCATGGTGAAGGCGACGTCGCTGCTCACCATGTTGCCCGCACACAGACACGGAATGGGCGAGAATCCCACGGGACCGCAAAGGATAATCACACAGTCAATGTGGACAGAAGAATACGAGAAGACACCGCCAACGACAGAGAGAAAGCACACACACCAGAACCGAACGGTACATCGACATCACACCAGGCGCACCACCCGACTGAAGCAGAGAAGCCGACATCATCAACGGCAACAGCAGCTACACACGAGAAGACGAAGAAGAAAAGAAAGCCTGCAAACTGGTCAAATCCATTTGCACCTCTTGTACAACAACAACAACAACAACAACAACAACAACAACAACAACAACAACAACAACAACAACAACAACAACAACAACAACAACAACAGCGACAAGAAGGTCAACAAGGTCAATATGATCAGACACAAAGACCGTTGTCTCCAGCATCTGCGATGAGGGCATCTCTGGCAGAGCTGACTATGGTTGAGGGCGAAGGAGACGAGCTGCCTTTTCCGGAGATTGACGTGGACAATGCGGTGCCCAACTTCACGGCCGCATACGACTACGCGGCCCGGGAAGTTGATGAAGTGGATCTTCATAAAGGTATTTATCGTCTCACGCCTCCCTGACGCCCTCCCTTTTGTTGCCCCAAAGCACCCCCTTACTCGCACCCTAAACACACACTCGACACTGATGGTTGCCTGAGGATTCCATTGCAACAACACCGTGTGTTTGCTCACATGTGTTGTGGCTGCTTGCACTTCACCCCATGTGTGATCATCGCTTCCCAAGGCGACCTTCTGTATGTCGTTGAAATGGGACCAGACGGTACGTAACATGCCAAGTGCAGAACAAGCTAACGGCTGCTGTTCTTGTTGTTGCTTCTTCTTCTTCTGCTGCTGCTGCTGCTGCTGCTGCTTCTGCTTCGTGTTCTGCTCTGCTTTGTGTTTCTCGGAACTTGCTCTTCCCCTTACTGTGCGGTGCCTATGACATGCTATGTACACCGGCAGGCTGGTACATTGGCCTCAACATCACAACGGGCGTTCAGGGCACCTTCCCAGGCAACTTTGTGGTTCACCTCGACCAGGCACCAGAGGTGTGTTGTGTGTGTGTGTCTGTCTGTCTGTCTGTCTGTCTGTCTAGGCTGTGTGTGTGTGTGTGCTCTATGTGTGTGTGTGTGTGTGTGTGTGTTCTGCGTGTGTGTGTGTGCTCTGCGTGTGTCTGTGTCTGTGTCTGTCTGTGTGTATGTGTGTTCTTTTTGTGTGAGCAGGCTATTAACCCCCTCTCACCTCACACACACACAATCACACACGCTCACACAATCACACAATCACACAATCACACGTACGCGCGACTGTGACGAGCAGGGCGACGAGGAGCTTGCCCGGCGGCTGCAAGCGCAGGAAGAGGAGGAGGAGGGCGAGCAAGATGGCCGTGCGTCGGAATATGCCAGCACGACGTCATCTGCCATGATGGCCACAACCGCTGACGAGGACCTTGCTCGCCAGCTGCAGGAGGAGGAGGACAGGCTCTTTGCCCTTGCTCAGCAACGCCAGGAGTCGTCAATCCCAGTCGGTGCGTACACTGAATGGACATATGTCTGCGTGTGGTACTCCTGTGCCGACTGTTTCTCAGCCGTATGCACGCACGCATTGTGCACTAGCTGCGTGTGCTGGTTGAGACCACAGCTTGGCATGACACAGCCTTCCTCACATGAGCCACCACCACCATCACCGCCACCATCATCGCCAGGCCCGCCGCCCACACCGTTCCAGGTGAGCTCGCCTGACCACGAGTCGTTTACCGTGCGCTTCCTCGGAAGTCTCAATGTGCCCCCGCGCCCATCAAAGGACCTCCTCTTCATGGCCATCAGAGAGGTGCAACCCATGCGCATGGTGTAGACATTGGAGAGGGCGGGGGTAATTGGAGATGGATATGTGTGTGTGTGTGTGTGTGTGTGTGTCTGTCTGTCTGTCTGTCTGTCTGTCTGTCTGTGCCTGTTTCGTTCTCCTCCCTACATTGCTTATCCTCTCACACGTGCCACCCCTTCCCCTCCTGCCTCTCAAGGTCCTTGCTGCCCGGAAGCGGCTGCGGTACAGCGCGTCGAAAACGTTTGAGTTTCGCGTTTCCCTGCGCGGCATTCATCTTATCGAGCAGGCACCAAAGGTGCGGACTGTGCGCCTGTAAACGGGTGCTTCCGTTGTCTGCGTTTATGTTTATGTGTATGTGTGTGTACGTGTCTGTCTATCTGTCTGTCTGTCTGTCTGTGTGCGTATGTGTGTCTGTCTATCTATCTGTGTGTGTGTGTGTGTCTCTCTCTCTCTGTCTGTCTGTGTGTGTGTGCTTGTGTGTCTGTCTATCTATCTGCCTGTGTCTTGTATCTGGGTGGCACATCTCACCGTCTCCATTCTCGCCTGTGCAGAAGCGACCGACGCTGCTTCGACGCCGCTCCACATCAGCGCCACCAACTCGCGTATGTGTCCGCTACCACTTGCACTGCCAGTGCCGTGCCCAATGTTGTGTCTGCTGCGTTGTGCGGTGTACTTGGCTCCATGCTCTTCGTGCAAATGCACACGCCGCAACCGATAGCCAAGTGGCTTTTACTTGGAGATTCACACAAGTCTAACCGCACCACTGTGCGTGTACGCTGCATGTGTCGTAACGGCAGGCCACCACAGCGTCCCTGTTCCCGCTCCATCACGTCTCCCACTGTGCCTTTGACGAAACAGACCACAAGTACGCATGCATCTCAATGCGAGAGGGTGGTGGTGGTGATGGAAGCTGCAGTGGGTGCGCGGTTGTGACGCTGTGTCGACGTTGTACTGCTCATCCACCTCCTGCATGAATAGTCAAACTCACAAACGCTTTCTCGCGCGTCCGCATGTGTGTGTGTGTGTGTGTGTGTGTGTGTGTGTGTGTGTGTGTGTGTGTGTGTGTGTGTGTGTGTGTGTTCAGGTGCTTTGGATTCATTACGCGCAACGAACGTGGGGACAAGTTTGCGTGCCACGTGTTCCAGTACAACAAGTCTGCCACGACCATTGTCAACGCCATTGGGTAAGTGTGTGGTGGGCCTGCACCGGCACCCGACCGGTGGGATGTGGAAGGACAGGCAGAATTGCGCTCACTCACTCACTCACTCATTCACTCACTCATTCACTCACTCACTCACTCACTCACTCACTCACTCACTCACTCACTCACTCACTCACACACTCACTCACACACTCACTCACTCACTCACTCACTCACTCACTCACTCACTCACACACTCACTCACACACTCACTCACACACTCACACACTCACTCACTCACTCACTCACTCACTCACTCACTCACTCACCCACCCACGACAGCCGCGCGTTCCAAGCTGCGGGGCGCAGTCAACGCAATCAGCGGCGATGACTGGCTTGCCGGACCACATCCCCCCCCCCCTTCTCTCTTTCTATTTAGTCACCCTGCTCCCTTTCCTGCTTGCTGTTCATTCACTCCCCTCTCCCCCACGACCTCCTGTAGAGAAGAAGACCAAGCACGCGATGCTGGCTTACCTGTCTGTGCCTGCATTGGTATGTTACATTACACGCGCCCTACACGTTCCACAGCAAATGCAAGCGCACAACGAGGATGCTGTGACAGAGAGACATTCAACAACACCACAACCAACAACACCACCACCAACAACAACAACACCACCACCACCACAACAACAACAACAACAATGAGTGGGGTGAGCAAAGCGGCGCTGGATGAGTTGTCGCGGTTTGCGCGGACGCGTGGCCAGGCAAGGCGAGCAGCAGCCATGCTGGCGACAGCAGGTCAGCAGCAGCAACAGCAGGCCAAAAGGTGGAAGAGTAGCACTAGCGGCAACCGCGCGAGTGAGGATGGCAACACCAAAACAAAGGTGAGCAGGGTGACGTCGTCGTACTTCTCAACATCATCATCGTCCACAACACGAACGCGCAGTGGACGCCGCCGTGTTGTTGTCAAGTATGAGGAGGAAGAGGACGTGACAGCTGCGGAGGAAGCACAACAAGAAGCCAGCACACAACAAGGGGCGCCACAGACAGGCAAGCAGGTGCGTGTCACATCAACCAGAACCACCACCAGCACTGCCTCAGTTGTGGACAGCGTCATGGAGGACGTGGAAGCGGAGGAAGACGAGGAAGCGGAAAAGGAGCGTCTTCGACGCGCACCGCCAAACTGGGAGACGGTGTACAACAACATCAAGACCATGCGCAGCAAGCGGTCTGTGTGTGTGTGTGTGTGTGTGTGTCTGTGTGTGTGTGTGTGTGTGTGTCTGTGTCTGTGTGTGTCTGTGTCTGTGTGTGTCTGTCTGTCTGTCTGTCTGTCTATCGAACTGTCTGACTGTCGAACCAAGCACCCTGCCTGTCTGTTTCCCTGCTGTGCCGCCGCCCTGTCGCCTTGTACCGCAGTTCTCCCCCGCCCCCCTCTCAAACCTTCCTCATCTGATTCACACGGCGTGTACGCCTCCTGTGTCTTCAGAGATGCCCCTGTGGACACGATGGGCTGCGAGGTGTTGGCAGATCCAAGTGCAGACGGCCCAACTCAGCGCTTTCACATCCTCGTTGCACTCATGCTTTCCAGCCAGGTGTGTGTGTGTGTGTCTGTCTGTCTGTCTGTCTGTCTGTCTGTCTGTCTGTCTGTCTGTCTGTCCGTCCGTCCTTGTGCCCTTGCTTGTGTCTTATCTCCGTTTGTCTGTGCCTAACGCTGTAGCGTCTTCCCCCTTGCCAATGCATCAACTCATCCAAACACTTACACGCACACACACACACACATCAAACATCCGCACATCCACACGCGCTGTCCCTTGCGGGTTGTGTACAGACGAAGGATGAGCTGACGTCAAAGGCCGTGCGCACACTGCAGCAGCAGCTGCCTGGCGGTCTCACACCGCACACCGTCACCGCAGCAGAAACGCGTGTGCTTGAGGAGTGCATCTACGGCGTTGGCTTCTGGCGGCGCAAAGCACAGTACCTCAAGGGCGCGTCCACCATGATCTTGGCCAGCTTTGGCGGGGACATCCCACAGACCATCCCAGACCTCATCAAGCTGCCGGGCGTGGGCATGAAGATGGCCACCATCACCATGGCCGTTGCGAACAAGCAGGTGTCCGGCATTGGCGTGGACACGCACGTGCACCGCATTGCCAACCGCCTGCGCTGGGTCAGGAACACAAAGACGCCCGAGCACACGCGCGTGGAGCTGGAGCGGTGGATGCCGCGCCGGCTGTGGGGCGAGGTGAACCTGCTGCTTGTCGGGTTTGGGCAGACCATATGCCAGCCGCGGCAGCCAAAGTGCCACGAGTGCTTGAACAAGGACCTCTGCCCAAGCTCGACAGCCAAGACGCGGCGGCGAGGCCAACAGCAACAACAACAGCAGCAGCAGCAGCGCGAGGGGAAGCGCGCGGCCAAGGTGGGAACACGCACGGCAGAGGCAGGTCGGGCGAGCAGGAGGAAGGCGAAAGAAGAACAAGAAGAAGAGAAGGTGGTGGTGGTGGAGGACAACAACAGCTATGATGCCGTCAGCACAGTCGCGCGGGTGAAGAAGGAGGAGGAGGTGGATGTGACGGCTGATGGTGGCCAGGAGCCAACATCGTCATCACCACCACCACAACCACAACCATCGCCGCCACACCCACGCAGCAGATCCAGCAGGAGAAGGACGAGAACCACCCGTGCACAAAGGGAGACAGAGAGATCCAGTTAGATGTGCACAAAGGGAGACAGAGAGATCCAGTTAGATGTGGACAGAGGGGGGGAGGGGTTCTTGTTGTTTGTGGGCGCTCACATCCCATGTCAAGCACAGAAGAAGAGAAGAAGGCTCAAGCGTGGCTGTCCCTTGTGCTTCCCTTCTTTCTTTCCTTCTCTTTCGTCTTGCTTCTGTCTGTGAGGGGTTCGCCCACGATCATCAGACGCATGCATCACGTGTTTTTGGTGTGTGTGTGTGTGTATTTTTTTGCGTCACATCAATCAACAATACGCCCACATCATCATCATGAATGACTTTGCCCGGTGAGTGAGCATGTGAGTGTGTGTGTGTGTGCGATGTGAAGGAAGGTGGAGATGGATGGTGGGTCGCCGTCATGCGCGCGCGCGTGTGTGTGTGTATGCAATACGCACAGTTCGTGCCTGTACATGTGACCAAAGCACACAAGAAAGGGTGTTTGTTGAATCAAACCAGCCTAGCGACCCAGCCAGCCACCATCATCACCTACCACCATCACCACCACCACCACCAACACACACGGCAAGAGAGGCAAACGGACGAAGGACTGCCGCCATCAACTTCTACCTTCTCTCACCCTTCTTGCTCATCCCGCCTTGCTTTGCACCCCGCGCGGCTGTCCCTCATGAACACGAATCATCTCCACCAACCAACCGCTTGCTTTGTCTGTCAATAGCTGGGTGGAGAAGCACCTGGATGTGCCCTACTTGGATGTCAGCATCGACGTCGACGAGCCGGACTTCCAGCCGCTGCTGGACGAAGTTGCTCCTGGTACGCATTGACTGATGACGTGGAGGTGGGCAGGGGAGACCGGGCAAGAGAACGTTGGCTGCGGCTGCGGCCGCGGATGGTTATGATACAGTTGCACATGGTCAGCCGCACACACACACACACACACACACACACACACACACACACACACACACATGCACGCACATGCACACACATTCACCCCGCATCGGCAGGCGTTGACAAGTCCAAGCTGTACCACAAGCGCATGACAGATGGTATCACGAATGTCGTGCTGAAATGCCAAGTTGATGTCCCTCTGGACGATCACACACTCTCTTCGCCATTCCTCATACGCATCTACGGCTCAGCAACAGAGGTGCGCACTTATGCGTTTTCATGTGCCTACATGTGTGTGTGTGTGTGTTTGTGTGTTTGTGTGCCGCTGTGGCTGGCCGGGTGACAATGCATGGCCAAGTGCATCTGTCCCGAAAGTGCCTTCTCGCCACTCTTGCATCGCTCGTCTGGCCCTCATTGGAACCCATGCTCTCCACATGCCCCGGCTACCGCTTCCCGCTCGCGCCACCCATCCCCAGATGTTTATTGACCGTAAACAAGAGATGTTGAACCACAAACGCTTGCACGCCATTGGACGCGCCCAACCCATCTTCGCCGTCCTCAAGGTGCCGCTGCTATTGTTGTTCTTGTTGGTGGCAGTGGTGGTAGTGGTCGTGGTCGTGATGCTGCTGCTATTGCTGTTGCTCTTGTTGTTGGTGTTGACCTCTCTCATCTCCGCAAACACAAACATACATGCATACTAACACATGTGTGCTCATGCGTTGTCAATCGTGCGTGCTGTCTCGTCTCTGTTGTAGAATGGGTACGCATACGGGTATTGTCCGGGTCGCCCTGCCAGCCTCAGCGACTTTTCGTCGCCTGCCATCTCCTCACACATCGCAAAAAGGTATATGCATATCTCATGTCATGCTTCACACATCGCACTATCACACACACACACACACGCACACACACACACACACACATACACACACATACACACACACACATACACACACATACACACACACACACAAACAAACGAATGTGAACACCTCCCCGCTCAATTTGTACCCGTGATGCTGACATCGCCTGCTCCTACCTGTGTGTGTATGTGTGTACGGGGACCTCAACAACCAGCCTTGGCGAAATCCACCGCCGTGTACACGTGCCGGCACACGAGAAGCCACGCATGTTCTCCCAAATTCGCTCCTGGCTCGACAACGTGCGCTTGAGTTCTTGTCCCCGTGTGTGTGTGTGTGAGTGTGTGTGTGTGTGTGTGTGTGTGTGTGTGAGTGTGTGTGTGTGTGTGTGTGTGTGTGTGTGTGTGTGTGTGTCGTTTGGCAGCCGATCCTTGTGTTGTGCGACACCCTCTCTTCTCGCAAGCTCTCATCCGGCGCCAACCGCAACACCCCCCGCACACACACACACACATACACCCCACTGTTTCCTTTCCTGTGAGTCATTCTACTCCTCTCACCAACGTGGACTACCTGCCCCTTCCCAACGCATCCCCTGCCTGACTGCGACAGGTTCCGGAGAGCTATTCAACCGCAGAGAAGACTGCGCGCTTACGCAAACACGTCGACATGGCGAGCCTAAGGAAAACGCTTGCCCACTTGGAGGATGTGGTGTGCGCGCGGGACCCAGAGACGTGCTTCTGCCACAATGACCTTCTCTGTCACAACGTCATCATCGCTCACGACAGCAAGGGTCTGTGGTCCTGTGTGGCTTTGCATGTGTCTGTGTCAAGTGGCTGTGTCTGTGCGTGTCTGTGCTGTGTGTGTGTGTGTGTGTGTGTGTGCTGTGTGTTCGTGTGTGTTCGTGTGTGTGTGTGTGTGTGTGTGTGTGTGTGTGTGTGTGTGTGTGTGTGTGTGAGGCTGCTCATGCATGTTTGTGTGTAAGGTAACAATGTGCTCGTGGTTATCCCATCCCCCTTCTTGTAACCTTGCCCATGAAATTGGTGCACTTGTTTCATATTCACGCAACCACGCACTTGTACAAGATGTGACTCTTGCTGTGACGTTTCCATTTACTCATTTCATTTGATTGCGTTCTTGCTTGCGCTCCAGGAACAGATGTGCAATTCATCGACTATGAGTATGGTGGCGTGAATTATTGCGCCTATGATATTGCCAACCATTTCAACGAATTTGCAGGTGTGTGTGTGTGTGTATGTCTGTGTGTGTGTTTTTGTGTTTGTATGTTTGTATGTGTGTTTGTATATGTGTTTGTATGTGTGTGTGTTGTCCATGTGCTACCGGAGCTGATTGTTTGGTGTTTGCTCTACGAGACTCCATCCACTGTTCACACTCTCAGCTGTCTGCGACCACCACCACCGCAACCACCTACCACCTACCTACCACCTCCCCCCCCCCCCAACACCCGATGCAACGTCGCTGTGTGCTTCTTCTTTCCAAACATCAGGCCTGGATGTTGAGACGATTGATTATTCGCGCTGTCCCGGCGAGGACTTTCGGCGCCAGTGGGTCACGGCATACCTGCATGCTCGCGATGACGGTGAGTACACGTGATGGTGATGCCAAACACACACCCAGAGACTCAAACCGTTGCGATGCGCCGTCAATTGTTCCTATGTGTTCCGCACTGGCCCAAAAGCAACCTCCTCCTCCTCCCACACACACACACGCACACATACATACATACATACATACATACATACATACATATATACATACATACGTACATACATACATACATACATACATACATACATACATACATACATACATACATACATACATACATACATACATACATACATACATACATACATACATACATACATACATAAATACAGTTGTTCCTCGCTTGTTTTGCGGCGCTCATTTCACTGCGCATCACGTGTACATGTGGCCGTATACAGATGCAACCGAAACACATGTGAACCGTTTGCTCAAGGACATCTCCATCTTCACACACGTTTCCCACCTCTACTGGGGCGCCTGGGCTCTGGGTGCGTATTGTCTGAATTGCTTGTTGACACACACGCCCTCCCTCTCTCATATCCTCTCGTATCTTCTCTCGTATCCCCACCTGTCGCGCACTGACTCACTCACACACACACACACACACACACACACACACACACACACACACACACACACTCACACACTTCACAGTGCAAGCGGCTGTATCCGAGATTGACTTTGACTATCTGTCATATGCACTCGTTCGACTTGATCAAGTCCCGCCAGTCATTCAAGACACAGCCATCAAAGGATAATAATGTGAACAAGGGTGTGCAGTTGTCCTGCACGTATCCTTTGTGTCTCGGGTCATTCTTTTCTCTCATGCGTGTGCTATTCACCTCAATCAAACCGCTCGCTCAACCAAGGCTGACTGACCATGTTTGTCAGCTGCTCGCTTCGAACCTCCTTGCCCTTGTTCCCTTCCATGCCTACGTGCTTCACCTTGCGCTGCTTGTCTCGACTTTCGTTAGCTGATTTTGGGGGGTGTCGTTGTGTTGTAATGTTGTTCATAGGAGTAAACAGCGAGTCATCATCACATCACGACATAGCTTGGCCGTAGCAAAAGACAAAAAAAGGCTAGAGCAGCAGCAAAAGACAAAAAAGGCTTAAAGCAGCATGACAAGCAACCAAACATGAGATATGCATTGGCACAGTCAACAGCATCGACCAGTCATGTGACATGACAAGTGGGGTTCGCTTGATTCGCTTAGTCGACCTCGTCGATGGTGGGGCCAGTCGTCTCGTCGGTGGACGGGGCGGGGCCACCCTGGTTGGGCATGCCACCGGGCATACCGCCGGGCACGCCACCCTCGGCATACAGCTTGCTCATGATGGGGTTGGCAACGCCCTCGAGCTCCTTCTGCTGGTGGTCAATCTCGTCCTTCTCCGCAGACGGGTTGGAGTCGAGCCAGGCGAGGACCTCGTCGCACTTGGCCTTGATGGTGTTCTTGTCGTCGTCGCTGATCTTGTCCTTGAACTTCTCGTCGTCGACGGTGGACTTGAGGTTGAAGGCGTAAGACTCGAGGCCGTTCTTGGCGTTGACCTTCTCCTTCATGGCCTCATCCTGGGCCTTGTACTTCTCGGCCTCCTGCACCATGCGCTCAATGTCGTCCTTGGACAGGCGGCCCTTGTCGTTGGTGATGGTGATCTTGTTCGACTTGCCAGAGGCCTTGTCCTGCGCAGACACGTTCAGGATGCCGTTGGCGTCAATGTCGAAGGTGACCTCAATCTGGGGCACACCGCGTGGGGCGGGGGCAATACCGGACAGCTCAAACTTGCCGAGGAGGTTGTTGTCCTTGGTCATGGAGCGCTCGCCCTCGTACACCTGGATCAGCACACCGGGCTGGTTGTCGGAGTAGGTGGTGAAGGTCTGGGAGGTCTTGGTGGGGATGGTGGTGTTGCGCTTGATGAGCGACGTCATGACACCGCCGGCCGTCTCCAGACCAAGGGAGAGCGGGGCGACATCGAGCAGGAGGAGGTCCTGCACCTCCTCGGACTTGTCGCCGGAGAGGATGGCGGCCTGGACGGCGGCACCGTAGGCGACGGCCTCGTCGGGGTTGATGCTCTTGTTCAGGTCCTTGCCGTTGAAGAAGTCCTGCAGCAGCTTCTGGATCTTGGGGATGCGGGTGGAGCCGCCAACGAGGACGACCTCGTCAATCTCGCCCTTGCCGAGCTTGGCGTCGCGCAGAGCCTTCTCGACGGGGTCGAGGGTGCCGCGGAAGAGGTCGGCGCACAGGTCCTCGAAGCGGGCGCGGGTGATGGA